TTTTTCGATCATTTTTATTATTATCTTGCCCCTTGTCTTTCCTTCTGATCTATCTTCCTCGCTTTATTCTGTATTTTTTCTTGATAAAAATAAAGATGAAGATAATAGCTGTAATAATGATGAAAACATATAGTATCGTTAATAACAATATCACATGTCAATAATAGGTGTATTATGTCAAAAGCAACAAGAAAGTAAAACTATTAATATATGATATGAAGAAAATATAATTATGTTTTTCGATATTTATAAATCTAAATCAGAACTGATTCTGCTGGAATAAATCAGTCACGTCAGAATGATTAACCAACTCTCTTAAATTTATCTGGACATCCTCAGGTATGGACGGCAAAAAAATATTACGTAAAAAAGCATCAAGAACACGTAAGAGATACAGTTTCTGAAAGTCTTTGGTGGCTCTCGAAAAAAGAATATTATATGTAAAAGGACATGTAATTTATATCAAGACATCGAGAATACTTGAGACAAACTGGCAAGCTGGACACGTATGTATCCTTTCCATGCCAGGTCTCCGGAATCTGTGTTTGCATTTGGCAGCACATACACGTGCAAACACTGCCGGGCCTTTCTGCATATAGCTGTTGGGTGATGAAGTTGATTGCGTCGCTCCTGTTCCGTCTCGTGAAGTTAGCTTTGAGATTATAGATACTGAGAATATTAAAAAGAAAAAGAAAGAAAGAAGGAAAACGTATAGATGAAATCAAAATATATAGTATCGTTAATAACAATATCACATGTCAATAATAGGTGTATTATGTCAAAAGCAACAAGAAAGTAAAACTATTAATATATGATATGAAGAAAATATAATTATGTTTTTCGATATTTATAAATCTAAATCAGAACTGATTCTGCTGGAATAAATCAGTCACGTCAGAATGATTAACCAACTCTCTTAAATTTATCTGGACATCCTCAGGTATGGACGGCAAAAAAATATTACGTAAAAAAGCATCAAGAACACGTAAGAGATACAGTTTCTGAAAGTCTTTGGTGGCTCTCGAAAAAAGAATATTATATGTAAAAGGACATGTAATTTATATCAAGACATCGAGAATACTTGAGACAAACTGGCAAGCTGGACACGTATGTATCCTTTCCATGCCAGGTCTCCGGAATCTGTGTTTGCATTTGGCAGCACATACACGTGCAAACACTGCCGGGCCTTTCTGCATATAGCTGTTGGGTGATGAAGTTGATTGCGTCGCTCCTGTTCCGTCTCGTGAAGTTAGCCTTTGAGATTATAGATACTGAGAATATCAAAAAGAAAAAGAAAGAAAGAAGGAAAACGTATAGATGAAATCAAATATATAGTATGTGCAAAAATTGTGGAAATGAATTTGCCTTTGACTTTCATGATGAGAAAGAATAATGTTCTTTGTTTGTTAACTTTATCAAGTTTAAACTCTATTGTCTTTAGTGTGCTTCATAATAAATACTCCATCCTTGAGATATGGAAGCTTCCATGAACATTTTCAAAACAGACTTATAAAAGTCGATATAATACCACCACTAAAATAAACAATCAATCGCATCGGTATCAGATATATCACGATGTTTTTTGTATACAACTATTATACTTTTTCACCCGATAAATGCATTTGCCTTGACATAGATTGCCTCCACTCTCTCACTATTATTTCCACGTGCCCGTTTGTCATCTAGTGCCCTCCCAAGAGCTCTTTCAACTTAGCGATAATTAGATTCTGACAGACTACGGCCCTCACTGCATTCCCGAACTGTCTCTACTGATCTTATTACAGACCTTTTCCATTCTATTATTATGCATATAAGTGGAAGGATAGGGAGAGAGAGGCGATGGCGCGAAGAGGAAGAAGAGGAAACAGAAAAAAAAGAAGAAGAAGAGGAAAGGGGAGGAGAAAAGGAAGGAAAAGAAGGAGGAGAAGGAGAAAAGGGAAAATGTCAAGGAGAAGGATAAACAGGAAAAAGTGGGAAGGAGGAGGAGGAAAGGGGAGGAGAAAAGGAAGGAAAAGAAGGAGGAGAAGGAGGAAAAGGGAAAATGTCAAGGAGAAGGATAAAACAGGAAAAAGTGGGAAGGAGGAGGAGGAAAGGGGAGGAGAAAAGGAAGGAAAAGAAGGAGGAGAAGGAGAAAAGGGAAAATGTCAAGGAGAAGGATAAACAGGAAAAAGTGGGAAGGAGGAGGAGGAAAAGAAGGAGGAGAAGGAGAAAAGGGAAAATGTCAAGGAGAAGGATAAACAGGAAAAAGTGGGAAGGAGGAGGAGGAAAGGGGAGGAGAAAAGGAAGGAAAAGAAGGAGGAGAAGGAGAAAAGGGAAAATGTCAAGGAGAAGGATAAACAGGAAAAAGTGGGAAGGAGGAGGAGGAGGAGGAGGAGGAGGAGGAGGAGGAGGAGGAGGAGGAGGAGGAGGAGGAGGAGGAGGAAAGGGGAGGAGAAAAGGAAGGAAAAGAAGGAGGAGAAGGAGAAAAGGGAAAATGTCAAGGAGAAGGATAAACAGGAAAAAGTGGGAAGGAGGAGGAGGAAAAGAAGGAGGAGAAGGAGAAAAGGGAAAATGTCAAGGAGAAGGATAAACAGGAAAAAGTGGGAAGGAGGAGGAGGAAAAGAAGGAGGAGAAGGAGAAAAGGGAAAATGTCAAGGAGAAGGATAAACAGGAAAAAGTGGGAAGGAGGAGGAGGAAAGGGGAGGAGAAAAGGAAGGAAAAGAAGGAGGAGAAGGAGAAAAGGGAAAATGTCAAGGAGAAGGATAAACAGGAAAAAGTGGGAAGGAGGAGGAGGAAAAGAAGGAGGAGAAGGAGAAAAGGGAAAATGTCAAGGAGAAGGATAAACAGGAAAAAGTGGGAAGGAGGAGGAGGAAAGGGGAGGAGAAAAGGAAGGAAAAGAAGGAGGAGAAGGAGAAAAGGGAAAATGTCAAGGAGAAGGATAAACAGGAAAAAGTGGGAAGGAGGAGGAGGAAAAGAAGGAGGAGAAGGAGAAAAGGGAAAATGTCAAGGAGAAGGATAAACAGGAAAAAGTGGGAAGGAGGAGGAGGAAAGGGGAGGAGAAAAGGAAGGAAAAGAAGGAGGAGAAGGAGAAAAGGGAAAATGTCAAGGAGAAGGATAAACAGGAAAAAGTGGGAAGGAGGAGGAGGAAAAGAAGGAGGAGAAGGAGAAAAGGGAAAATGTCAAGGAGAAGGATAAACAGGAAAAAGTGGGAAGGAGGAGGAGGAGGAGGAGGAGGAGGAGGAGGAGGAGGAGGAGGAAAGGGGAGGAGAAAAGGAAGGAAAAGAAGGAGGAGAAGGAGAAAAGGGAAAATGTCAAGGAGAAGGATAAACAGGAAAAAGTGGGAAGGAGGAGGAGGAAAAGAAGGAGGAGAAGGAGAAAAGGGAAAATGTCAAGGAGAAGGATAAACAGGAAAAAGTGGGGTGGGAAGGAGGAGGAGGGGAGGGAAAGGGGAGGAGAAAAGGAAGGAAAAGAAGGAGGAGAAGGAGAAAAGGGAAAATGTCAAGGAGAAGGATAAACAGGAAAAAGTGGGAAGGAGGAGGAGGAAAAGAAGGAGAATGAGAAAGAGAAGAAGGAAAGGTGGTGGCGGTGGAAGAGGAGGATGAGGAGGAGAGAGGAGGATGAGGAGGATGAGGAGGATGGAGAAGGAGGAGGAGGAGGAGGAAGAAGAAGAAGAAGAAGAAGAAGAAGAAGAAGAAGAAGAAGAAGAAGAAGAAGAAGAAGAAGAAGAAGAAGAAGAAGAAGTCAAGGATGAGGATGAGGATGAGGAAGAGGAGAAGAAGAAGAACAAGGAGGAGAAGTAGGAGAAGGAGGAAGTGGCGGAGGTGGAGGTGGTGGTGGAGGAGGAGGAGGAAGTGGAGGAGAAGGAGGAAGAAGAAGACGAAGAAGAAGAAGAAGAAGAAGAGAAGAGGAGGAGGAGATGGAAAAGGAAAAGGAGAAGAGAAGGATGTGGAGAAGGGGTAAGATTAGGAGAAGGAGGAGAAAGAGAAGGAAAAGGAGGAGAAGGAAAAGGAAAAGGAGAAGGAGGAGAAAGTGAAAGCGAAGGCGGAGGAGGAGAAGGAGGAGACGGGGAAGAAGGTGAAGGCAAAGGAGAAGAAAAGAAGAAAAGAAAAGGAAGAGGAAGACTAGAAAAAAGAAAAACAACCAAACTCAATAAACCAATTCATTAGAAAGGCGAAACAACTTTTTTCGAAATCATTGTTGTATGTGTTTGCTATCGACATATGTTAGACCACAGTATATCAAATATTGTGTGGGAATGAACTCGCCATGCCGCCATCGTACCATAAAATGTGCGTAAAGTGATGTCCTTAATTTACTGCCCAATTTCCAATTCACCCAACTACGCCCGCTCAATTATCCATCAAAGATAACCCGACGCATGACCTACTTCTTCTGTCCACGAACCAATCAGTCCTCCTGTCAGCTGATAATGAATCCGGCGAAATGCATATTAACGAATTCACATCACGTGACCACCAGAGCGGATCTGTAATTGTTCCGCGCGAATGGCGAAACGAGGAAATTCGCGCTTTTGTC